CATTACTTGGGTTCTATGGATTGACAGAGTCGTAGTTGCGGGCCGCGCCCACGTTGGGGCCGGCAGAATATGGTCCCATACCCGTTCGCGGGCCCTTTTGGGCAGCCCTTACTTGTTCCTGATGATCGCTTATTTTGAGGACTTCCTTCCAGTGTAGTAAAAACAGGTATTTTTTTAACTTGAACATTGCTGGAACAGGTGCGAGAAAGAGGAATATTACTCTTCATGGTTGTCAGGGCAATGTAGTTCGATGTCCGAAGAGAGACGATTAAACCGTCCTCTCGACGGGATCCCGTTTGTAACATTGCCAGTGTGGAAGACTGATGTATAGTCAGGTTTGAGTGTGGGAGTGGGGATTTCATGCACCCAAGCTCACATTGTTTCACGATTGAGAGGCTCTGAATTGGTGCTCTGTATTCGAGATCAGCAACACAGGCTCCCAGTGCACGTGGAAGTTATGACTGCATCGTCACTGCTATTTCGTAATAAACCCTAAACATTTCCAGGATATGCCACAAGTTGGGTCAAGACAAGCAATGTCATCACTTTTATGTCTTGTATAAATATGAGTGTACTTTGTGCGTGGGAGCTGGGCTCATGTAGGGACCCTTGATCTAGAATAGGTTTCAGTGTGAATCGATAACCCTTCAATTTTGTTTTGAGACTGTGAGACACTTGAAGAGAGAGAGAGATAGATAGAGAGCAATGACGCGTACACATTCGTTTCTTAACGCCAAAAATAAAGAGCATATTTATTTTTTTTCACGTACGTAAATTCACACAGTCCAGTTCACGGTTGTCTCAAGAGCAGATAATCAGTCACCGAGCTAAAATGCCTTGCAATATAATCTCTTCCGCAGTCGCTTCATAAGAATCTGGATTTAAAAATATACATCACTCTCGTATGTTGGCCACACATGCCCGTTTCTGGCGGGTGTACATCTCACTGGTTCGCTCTCAAAACGTTTGCTTCACAATAGGGCTATACAATGGATGCTTGCCTCCATTCCGTAATGTGTCATGAATCTATCACGCATAACGAAAAAGATGTCCTCAAAACATAGCGGGCACTGTCACCCTAAGACGTAATATGCGTGAGGACCGTCTACCACAGTTCGGTTGGCAAAATGCGAACAACGTGAAACCGGTCGGTCCAGCTAAGTTCTCTCAGCACACACCAAAAATATGTGCTCAACAAATGCAATCACACACGAAACACAATCATCAAACCTCTTATTTGCAGTGCATTAACACAACTCAAATAGCCATGGTTGATTATAGGTACTACCGAGGAAGCGTACAAACGACAACACCACCTGCGGTTTGTGCCAATGGGATACAATATCTGTAAATAGCGCTACAACACTCATAACTCAAAATGACAAACACAGAAAGTCACAGCAAATGGCCAACATGGCAAGAGCGTGTTTTGCAACACGCCTTCGTTCAGGTCTGTACATCACAATGTGGCCTTTGGGTTCGCAGGATCTGCTATAGACGTGAGTCATTAACACTTAAAACAAGTAGGACACCGAAAAAACACCGTGTTTGCCCGGGCAATTCACGACACGCACACAAAAAACGATACCGTAGCAGTTCACGGAGAAGTCCGACACCACATTCAGCAGTGGTATAGCATAGCGTCTGTGCTCCGATTCGACCAGATGTTGCAACTTTTGGCCTAGAAGGATTATTTTGCGTTATGGTCTAGCTGTCGAAACACTGCACCAAACTTTATATTTTTTATGCCATGGCTGTTGATGGAATACATAAAAATGAAGTAAGACAAAAAGGTGGCTGATGGCATTTTTATATATTGAGACAAATGTTATAAAAAGGAATCACCTGAATAAAAGAGGCTTGAAGGGAAACTTTTTTGTACCAAGTTTATATACGTGGAGATGAAATGTACTCAATCGTTCATGACGTCACTTACCTAAAATAATCCTCAAATCTAGAAGGAAAATGAAATAATAATAAAATAAAGGAGCGCTAACAAGGTACATTGCGACCAAGCTTGACAACTGAAGACGTGCATGAATTGCAATCTTCAAACATCAGGGGCTACTATGTGCCCGAGTCTTCTTTAGAAAATAGAGTATGCCCTACTTTCTAAAGAATGCTATAGCTGTGCTAAAGTATTATGATGTAATGAACATTTACACAATACACATAAGGAGCAATATAAATTTCACATCACACGTCTACCCTGACAAAACTTCCCCTTACTCCAATTGTCGGTAATTTCACATAAATCTAACTTGAACATCTGATTTCAATCTGGAAAATTGTTGGGAATGAATAAATATAATTTTATAAGAAAATTTGGCAAGTAATGAAAGGAGTATCTACATGTTCAGCGCAGTGCCAATTGTCAAGATTTTGGCGCCACCCTTGATTCATACCGCACCAAAAATAAAGTGGGAGATTTCGGTTTATTGCAGCTTATGAACCACAGCGGACGACATCCAAAATAGATCGCAAATAAGTCACAGGGACGCTTTCACATCGAAACAGTGGAAAATCAAACGTACAAGAAGAGGAAAGATAAGGTGTGCGGGTCACTATATCTTAAGTAGAACATCTAAACGGTGTTGCAGTATTGCCGGGCGAGGAGGAAACGAGACACAGACAATAATTGCTACAGAGACGCTAATGTACAAATGACGCTGTTTGACTTCAATATTAGTGCAGCTGACACTCACTCTTATGAAAATATATACAACACTTTCACATACGCAAAAATAATTATGAGACAATCAGGAGAGAATACACGTCAATTGCTGTGTGATACAAGGAGCAGACTCATCATAATTAGCGCACAAAAAGGACAAATAAACACAAAAAAGTGCACGACACAAGCGCTGAGACCACTTGGTTAGTGAAGTTCACGTTAATACACTGAAAACACAGCGCTTGCGTTGTGCACTGGGTTGTGTTTTTTGTCCTTTTGTGCGCTGATCGTGAGGAGTATGTTCCAACTAGCCCAATTCAGACTTTACAAGGAGCAGATTTTGCGGATGCGGAACTTACACTATAGGTCCACTATTCTCTCGTGTCACATGATTCCGCAAGTGTCCTGCGAGATGATGTCTTTTTTACAGGTCCACCGCAGTGAAGTCTGTAACAAGCACTACAATCCGCAATTGCATCGACTTTTTCTCTGAAAGACTGTACCTTTTTTGAAGACGTGTTCCAGTGGTGCTTTTCCAATTTGACACTTAATGAAATCTCGGCGACTCCCTGTGAACTTGAAACCGAATATGCATATCCGTTTAGTTCGTATAACGCATATTTGACAGCAAGCCGTCAAATATTCGTCGACAAACTGGGGAGCATTCACGGTTCAAGTTCTCGCACAAGTGGGAAATGATGCTACCGTCGTGGCATAAGCCCTGACATATTTGCCAAAATGTCATGTGACTTGACCACCGGAAGACCTCTTTTCAGCTGACCAGGCTGCTGTGATTCGTTCTTTTTAAACAGAAATTAGAAAGGCGGTAGTTCGTGATGCAGTATCAACTCCGCACTTTTCGTAAGGAAGGCAAACATTTAGACCACTGATTTAAGACGAACGAACTGCTAGTTAACAAACATGAGAAGCAATTGCGGTATATACATATTTTGTATAGGTGTATAACAAATCACCGTTCCAAACGTAACCGATGTGCATGAATTATGGCAATCGTACAGACGCGTTAGTGGACCGAGTAATCACAAAATGTAAGCTGTAATGATCACTGGCAACGAAGATGTTCTTGTGCATTTCATCACAATTGGCGTGTGCCGGTAACAGTGACATCATGTTCAAATACTGACATCTACAAGAAAGAACAGTTAACAAATGCTCATATTTTTGTTGCAAGCACATATAACAGAGAACACAGCTAACGTTGCTCACTAGAAATCCTCATTACATTAGGAATAGTTTGCATGAGCCCACACATGATACATAAATGAACATTACCTGCAAACTATTTAAATCCATCACTGGAACAGTCTTCGCTGCTTTTTACAGACACTCAATAAGGCAGAACACTTTACGATAACACTAAAGTGGGTGCATTATGAAACAGTGCTGGTTACAAATTAGAAAGTAGATAACTGTAGCACGCACACATTTATGCTGTTGTACATCTCAAAGTCAGATTATGACGATATAAGGTGAAGGTGACGGGTGATCTGGAACACAACTTTCGGTCACTTCGCATGACACCGCGCGCTGGCTTTTATCTTACACGATAGCGCTATGCACACTGAACAGGGTTTATGGCTCTTTTCAAAAGATAAATAGGCCAAATCTCGTCGGGGGCCTACGTATCACAAGTTGAACAGTTACTGTTAAAGCTGCAGGTAAGTAGGCTTTAGGTATATTCAGCGCGCATAAGCAGTACGGCTCGTACCTCTAGGACGTCGTACCAGAGGGTGAGAGTGAAGTCGAGAGAGAGCACTGGTTGTAAACCAATGTACAATCCCCGTGGGAAGCACATCGCGAAGTGACTCCATGTGCCGCGCGTCGAACGTACCAGCGAGGAACTTGCGTATGTGACAGCAGTCTGCCTTTCATTCCCAACTATGTACCCTTCCAGAGTGCTGATCTGCTAATTTGTTGGCGAGAATGCTCGTCTCCACAAATAAGGGTTCCTATCCTGGACAGGTGGGAGTAAAAATGTTTGGCAAGTCTATAGACCAGAACAGCTGAAAACATTCAGTGTTATCACGTACCTACAAAAGCACTGGCATCTGAACAGCCTTCGCACCGTCCGCCAATCCCTCTCTCGGAGTGTGCTTTAAGCGGCGTTTCCATAAAAAGTCCCATGAGACATATCATAGAACTGTCAGCTATCAGCAAGAACTAGAACGTCCACTTAAACTACACTGCACTACTTGGTAAAGTCTGTTTTGATTGGCAGGAGCTAAAGCCACAAGAACACTTTAATAAAATGCCTTTTGATGAGCATTTCTGCTAACATGATAATGTGTCGAAAGTAGCGCTATGTTACCTTTGTCTAGTGACGTCTTTTTCTCATTATGAAGAGCAAAACATTGAAAACCTGTACAAGTGCTTTCAAGCCTAAGGCTGAAAGGCACTCTTACAGCCAATTTTAATTCGTGCCGGTCACCGTGTCACACAGACTATCTGAACTGCTTTGTATTTCAAGCTTCAACTTCCCTCTTTTTTTTTTCTTGCAATATTACAATACACGTGACAATCTGTCTGAACAGCTGTGGCCGAAATGTGCTGTATACAGTAGGCAGCTAAGCGGTATAAAACACAGATCAAGCTCGCAGTGTCATATTTTGACAGATACCATTCATGAAGAAAATACCAACACTACTTCTCCATGACAAAATCAGGTTGTCTTCTTAGTGATGCCCTTTTTGCGGAATTCTCCAAGCAACAACGTCGTGGCATGCATCCATCTCTGAACTCTAAACGGCCACCTCCGAAACTCTTCACTTAAGACAAGTCACCGACGGTGTTCGTGGCGGGTCTAACTCTGCCGGCAGGCTGTCTACAAGAGGGTACCACTGGGCAGTCGGTTTCCGTGGGTTGTCCATGACAGCGAGCCAGTGGTCACGTCCGACACCCGTGGCCAACTGTCCAACGGCGCAGCACCCCATCAGTTCGTTTGGCCCGACTCTGAAATGGCATAACAATTTTTTTCAAGGCCAACTCACTGTTATGCACACACATTGATTTCACTATTTAGGAGCATTAACTTGCATATTGTGTTCTGAGAACTTGGCACATAATCTAGATGACGTGTTACCATATGTTCTGCCAGAACAGCGACTTTCACTTGAAACAGATATAGAGGAAAGTCATAATAGAAGAGCCACATTTTTTCAACATAATATTGTTAACATAACAAAGCTTTTGTTATGTAACAGTTTCTGCGGTAGAAGACCGAAAATGAGGGGAATACACTTTGAGGGAGAAGAAAGATGATACCACGCGAAAAACAAAGAGACTGCGAGAGGAAGTAATGCAGTCTATCAAGGAATTCCTCGAAATATCGAGAACGATGGTAACTACGCGCTTATTATATGGTAATAATGCAGTAAATTATCATATATATGATATACATCTTATCACTGTTCTTGTAGCACTGAGAACACTAGAGCAAAACATGGTCCGCGAGAAATGCCGACATGTCGCTTTTCTCCCGGTACCGGATAGTGTTACGAGATTGCTTATTAAGTTATGAAAACGTATACTTCTCGTCTGTAAAGAAAATAATTCCTCACCAGTTTCGTTACGGAACTGGTATATATCTACCCAGACAGGCATCTGACCATTGTTGTCGTTTATAATTTTCAGTGTGTCCTCCTTTTATGTTTCACATAAACACCACAGCGTGATACCGTGCAAAATGTCAGCTATGACTATGTCTAGTTGTAGCACCACGCAACAAACCCATTAGGGTAAAAAGTTAAGAAGAAGTCGCATTTGTAATCTAACCTAGTTACGTGGTGCTACAACGGGCGTTGTGAAGTAGTACGAGATAGTCAGCACGGACACTGCGCCCAGCCACGAGTAGACCTAGTGCACCAAGCTCGAACATTAGAATTATACTGTTTCACCTTTTCCTTCAGATTTAACATGAGCTCAACCACATAAGTCGTGGGACTAATCCAATTAGAATATTGCTTAGAAGAAACTCGACATGTCTCGAGCGCATTCACTGATGGCATGCACCCGGAGGAAACACGTAACGTAATTTTTGCTTGAAAATTCGATATTGAAGTAAAATAAAATTGACATGGTTACGGAGATTTATTCACCGACAGCAGGTCTTGCCAAGGCCTTAAAGAGCGCACAGGCATGCAGGCCATTTTTACCCTGGATGAATGTTCGATCTGTTCTTTCACCCCTGACTCTAAGACCATGGCAAAACCTGTCGTCACCCCGCAATATGAGGCGTTCCTCGACAAAATGATACCCGGCACCTCCACCAAACGATGTTACGAAGAAGATTTATACACCGACAGCGCGTCTTGCTAACGTCTTAAAGAGCGCACAATCATGCAGGCCGACAGGGGGAAACTCTAGGGTCCAACCCACAACAACCACGTTGTCGTCTTCCTCCTTTTGGGTGCCATTTCAGCCGTGCCGGAGCGATAGTTCTGTACATGTATCATCACGTACGCTTGTAAATGCCTCGGCCATCAATATCTCACCAGTGTTTTCATATGAACTACGTATGAAAGCTACCCCACTGTCATGCGTGAGATGGAGATATTACGTTGTTTACTGCAGACTGAGCGAATATTAAGGAATGTAGATGTATCCAATGTGCTGTGAAAAGCACAGTTTTATGAAGAAAATTGTGAATATTTGTATGCCTGTACTTCTTCACCTGCTTCGCTCACAAAGCAAACGTTAGAAGGTTTTTTTTTATTTCGGGGAAAAGAAAATGTTGGTCTGAAGTTGCAGTGAAAACAAATCTGCACATTTAGCAGTTTTATATTTTCCGGTAAAATTAAACAAAATGTACATCAAGCATTGATTGGCCCACTCAGATTGTATAGACTAATCATGTCTACACGAATGCGAATGAATGAAAAATAGTCGACAGACAAACCTTCATTTCTCATAGAAACATTTATCCGCCACATCACCAAATACTGAGGCAGGGGCAGCAATCCCCATAAAATTTCGAAATAATTATTAGGTTCATGACATCTGGATGCACCGAATTAATCTAAGAGATCATCCATTCATTTGTGTTTTCAGTGATGTTTTGTCTACATGGTGTATGCATGCATGCAAAATCGGGCACCATTAGCAATGAAGCAATATCTGAAGAGCGGTGTATGGCGGCGTCTCAAATACAACCTTTAAATTCTGTGCAGCCTGATGAAAAGAGGTCTAGAAATAGCCATGGTGCACGTCTACCAGGAAAAAGGTGGTCGCCCACTTAGGACGCACACTGCTGTGGCTCAGAATAAAAATTCGTTACCCTTCTCATCTTAACGTAGTAGCGTGTACTGTCGAAAAAGTTGGCACTCAGCTGAGGTATAATTGCGCAGCGCAAATACTTGAACAGATACGATGAACACAGGAAGCGGTCAAGTGCACATTTGCAACTGAATATCGTTGTTTTGAGAGGTCTGGTTCACAGCCGTAAACATGCGTGCAAGAGAAAATCAAGGTTACATGGTTAGCACCTAATTGATTCCTAGCAACCGTAGAGCTATATGCCGATTCTGATAAATGGTCGCGGGAGGAACGCCGATACATTCATCACCACATTTCAGCCTGTTCTCGGACCATCCTGCCCTTAAATTTCTGGAAAAAACACGCATTTGCCCGCATTGACTGACACGTCCATTTCTTGCAGTGATACGGGAAGTGGCATCCTGTCCCATTTATCATAGGTGATGACTGCTGTGCTAAACGGCAATAATACTTCGGCTGCGTGTATCTTGTTGAAGCTCAGCGAAAATTTGTATCCTAGTTGAACATACGAATAAACGCGTTTTGCGAGTGTTTTTTTCCGCATTCAGGACTCGAAGTCCGCGCCCTCTCTTTTTCATCTTTGTCGAAGTATTTACGCCAGTCAATTCAAGTTTAGGTATCTAGACTGTTGTAAATTTTAAGCTATCAAAATGTGAAGCCAGCAATAGCACATCAGTGCTAGTTGAACAGCCTTTGCATGCACAGAAAGCTTTTCGCTTACCGGTCATAGTCTACCACTTTGATGGCGAGGTTAACGTCGTCGACATTCTCCGGTGGCACGTCAAAGACCAGGGCCTCGTTGAACACCGGGTTCAGCGTCGACTTCTTGACGCTCGTTTTCTTTTTCTTGATTCGCTTGCCTTCGCAGACGAGGATTACCTTGATGTAGGGGTCTGCATCAAATTGAGCAAAAAAGGGAAATACCTTTTAAGTTTCAGCTTGATGTAACAAAGAGAGAGAGAGAGAGAGAGAGAGAGGAGAGAGAGAGATAACAGCTTTATTGAAAGTAGGAGTGCGGTCAGCGCTGCAAAAAACACTGTGAGTATGCGCCATAGAAAGTGGGTACATGTGGAGCAGCTCCTAGGATAGTACAGCCTTGGATAGCATAAAACAATTCACAACATACTCCCGATGGGGGCGAAGCATCCGGCCATCCGTCTGTCGGTGTTTCTGTCTGTATGTGTCTTTTTGTCTGTCTATCTGTCCGTGCGTCCGTCCACTCCTATCTTACTAGAGCACGCATCCGACGGACGGGACGACGCTTCGCCTTACTCATCATCATTTGCTCCGTGGATATGCTGTGGCTTTCTAATACAAAAACCACTAACGCCATATAGCGATATTACTTCCAAGGGCATATAAACACAGCGACATCTTGTGACCAACTTTTAAAACTACCCGGAAGTGGCTACTACAACATGCTACAAGGAAACTACTCACACTGTAAGAAGGTTCACCCTTATATAGCAACGGCTTGGAGAAAGAACGTAAAGGTGAGGAGAAATGAATAGAGAAGGGGAGAAGGTGAAGCATGGCACAGTTTGTATTGTAGAGTTTAGGAAGTATATGGGAAAGAAAAGTGTGAAAGGGGCAGCATAGGAGGCGGTTACAACTGGCAGTGAAAGGACACGGCCTACAAAAGGACGCTCATTGGTGAGCCCTAGGCCCGCAACGACAGCACGTGTCAATCGCCTAGCCGAGACGTGGGAATCCAAGATCCACGCACGGTACCTATTAGACGACCAGCGAGGACTCGTCGCCAGGGCCCAGGAAGCGATGGCAGCCAGAGAATTCCTGGAAGGAGGGACCCTCTCACCTAAGGTGACTTTGAGCTCAGGAACAGTGTTTTGTGACAATAAATGTTTATTCATCACCATCATACAACCTGGTACGTGTCGTGCAGGAACGCAAGAGGTACCCATGCGCACTGCAGGGAACGCGCATCGGCGTCGATGGAAACGTGGGTCATGTCGGGTAGAACGCTGGACGAAAAGCGCAAGCACGGACCTGGGGTATAAAAAACTGGCAGCATATCTACGAAGTGAATGATGGAGAGTGAGGCGAAGCATTCGTCCGACTATTCGTTCTTGCTTCCATCCGTTCATGCGTCCGTCAGTGTGACCGTCCATGCCTCCATCAGCCCGTCCGTGCGTGCGTCTGTTCGTGCGTCCGTCCCTGCGTTCGTCCATGCAGCCGCCCCTGCGTCCGTTCATGCGTCCATCCATGCATCTGTCTATGTGTCCGTTTGTCCATCTATTCAACACTCCAAGTACCACCATCTCGCATCTTTTCATCATATATTCCCCATATAGAAGCACCGCCATCCAGCGGACATTCCAAAGACTAAACGAGAGGTTGCACACGCACACTTTCTTACGGCTTGCGCTTTGGGTCTACTTCCCACCTTTAACCACCTCGAGTTTATGGTATATACTAGTTCATTATATTCATAACACTGCGGCCCAACGCTCGCTAAAACCTTTCTAAAACCAAGGAGGTGACGCCCAGTGAGTATAACGTAGCAACCTTTTCCTGTCAGATAGTGCTCAATGTACCACACGAGCACACACCGACGGCAACGAGCATCGGCAACACAAACCTGTATCGATATGGTTTAGATTAGAAAACCATTGCTTTAGAAAACAACTGGCGTCTTTCGTTAAGCAGCTGATGTCTTCTTTTTGTTTTTGCTTTAGAAACATCTGGCGTCTTTTCGTTTTGCTTTTAGAAAACATCTGGCGTCTTTCGTAGGTTTATTTCATCAATCAACGGCGTATTGAACAAAAAATTTTCAATGTTTATTCTTGAACAGGAGAAATTTCAGCAGCCACTACCTTGGAGGTAAACAATGGCTACTACTGGGAGTGAGAGACTGGGAGTGAGAGAAGTTGGCTTTTAACACTTCTACTGCTACTAACGTTTCCTACTGGAACATGCCAATGGCTGCTAATGGTGAATGAGAGACAGGAGCATTTGGCTTTTAGCTAAAACGCGCATGCCGCGAACTTTTTATTGTTCAACAAAGCACAGGAGAAATCTCCCACCAGCCCCACCTTGCAGGTCAAAATGTAACACTTGTTACACACTACGACTATGACTACGACTACGAGGGACGAACGGGTACCGCCTTAAGGAGCTTCACCCCTAAAAAGGTTTCGAGTTTGCGCTGGGAGCTTTCTCTTGGTCTTCTCCGTCCTTATCGCATATCGTGTAAAGGCGCACCTGTACGCTAAGTGTAATAACACCTGTAAATATGTTAATAAATCATGTGATCTTGCTGTATGTAAGAATCCTCGCAAAAGTTAATCCTTCCCTCGCACCTGAGTCAAACCCTGTCCGCGATCTTCGGTCACAACAAGGTACCCTATAGAATATCCACGTTGAGATTGGATGGCAAGGGTCAAAAAAGGTGTTATGTTGAGATGGAGTGACGTGAGGAAAAGGAGACACGAAGAAAATGGGTGGTAATTAGAGTCTCTTTGGCAGCACTGGCATGTGCGGAAAGTGCCACTTCAAGACACGTTGATGTGCGTATAGTATACGCTATACTAAAAGAGCTCTCAGAAGCTACGAAGTCGAATAATCGAGTGGCATTTCAGTGGCTCCCCAGCCACTGCGGAATTAAGGGAAATGAAATGGCGTATGAGTTGGCGAAAACCGCTCATAATTCTACGCAAACGTGCCTCATTCCGGTATCTCAATATGATGTAAATAGAATTTTAAGAACAACAAAACGTGAATTATGCCTGTCTACCTGGTTCACAGAAAAAACAAATGAATCGACCCTATATTCGGTTGATCCTAATGTTGAATACCAATTAGGCCGTGACCTTCCAAGACGTATCGATACACTCATTCATCGCCTGCGACTCGGAGCTGCTTACACAAAGCACTTCCTGCTTCGTATTCATCGTGCAACATCGTCAGCATGTTCATGCGGCCACGACGACCAGGATATCTGTCACCTCTTGCTCGACTGTCCGAAGCACGACACACATCGAAGGCGACTAGAACAAGAACTGCATAGGTTAGATCCTGAGCGACCATTCGGGTTGAATGAAATACTCGGTCCATGGCCATCCAAAACAAACGGCAAAGCAGTGAAGGTGCTGCAACAGCTCTTCGAAGAAACGAAAATTTGTGACGAATACTGAGCGGACAAAAGTTAAAAGTGAGCGTGTCGTCTACGTGTTTGTTCTGCCCATATAGGAGAACTTTTGCTCTCACCCATGTAGGACTGTATATATGTATGCATTCTATTGTTTCTTTTTCATATTTTTATGTGTACCAATTATGTGGAAAGGGGAGCCGTCGCCAAGTAACGGTGACAAAAACTCCTTCGTTTATTTTCTATTTCAATAAAAAAAAAGGAGAACAGAAGGACAAAAAAGGCAACCGCGCAAAGCAACACAAATAACCATGGAGCCGAACGACGAGATTGAAGTAACTAGACGAATGAGAATTGGGCGGAGTGTACTTGGCAGGCATACTGAATAGTAGACTGTCACTATCCCTCAAAAGGGAGGTATAGAACAGATGCACCTTGTCGGTACTTACATATGAAGCAGAAACCTAGAGGATTACAAAGAGGGTTCAACCTAGTTTGAGGACGACGCAGCCAGCAATGAAAAACAAAATGATAGGTGTAACCCCGAGGGACAAGAAGAGAGCAGAGTATATGAGAAAACAAACGGGTATTAAGTACATCGTAGTTGAAATCAAGAGAATAAATGATCATGGGCAGGGTACGTAGCGTGAAGGCAAGATAACCGCTGGTCATTAAGCATTACAGACTGGATTCGAAAATAATAAACGGATGAAAGAAAGACAGAAAGTTAGGTGGGGAGATGAGATAAGGAAGTTCGCGGTTATGAAGTGGAAGCAGCAACCACCGAAACTACTTCGCTGGGGGAACATAGGAGAAGTCTTTGTCTTGCAGTGGGTGTAGTAAGCCTGTTTATGATGATGAAGCCTCTAAACTGATTCTTTATTAAGAGGACTATGTTTTCCACATCGTTTTTTTTTCCTTCCTGAGTCAAAGATTGTATGCAATATTCGCTCTCATTTTAGCGTGAGCCCCTTTAAAATTTGTACAGCTTGACATCTTGTGAGACGAATATAACGGTGTGACATCCAATAGTTTCGATAGGTATAGGGTCCGCAAGATTCACGACCCGTTGAACAATACCTATACCTACCATGCAACAAGGTACGTGGTATATTTGTCCAATTTACTTCTGCGCAAGGTGACGTACCTGAGGACCCGCTGATGTCCATGGACTTCAGGTTTCTTGCCTTGATGACAGTGACTGTCAGTCGTCCGGCAGTCGGGAGATAGCAAAGTGAAAGCATGACCTCTCCCAGCTTGTCCATTTTTTCCTGTAGAGGATAACGCAGAAGAGATGAAAAGGCAATGACTTAATGTATGAACCAAACTGAAGCACTCGCTTGAGCTTTGTTGGTAATACTGACAGAATTTGTACGCATAAGTGAATTTTAGTTTAACAAATATACATATAAATTCCTGTTACGTCTTCGTATATTGTAACATGGCACTACACGGTGGCTTAGCGGTTATGGTTATTCACTGCTGACATGAAATTCGCGGGATTAAATTACGTTCATGGTGGCCGCATTTGCGATGGTGGCAAAAATCGTTGAGGCTTGTTTACTTAGATTTAAGCGCAAGTTAAAGAACCCCAGGGGGTGTAAATTTCCGGAACGCTAATCTATAGGGTTTCCTAGAATGATATTGAGGTTTTCGGATATAAACCACGGAAGCTTACTCTAGTTTGTGTCTCGCAGTCTGTGCGTGTCTGATTGTGGGCCCGTGCGTGTTCATACCTGCCTGCCTGCGTGTGCGTGTTTGTATGTGTGTATGTGTGTGTGCGTGTATACTATGTACATCTAACGCCGCAAGCCTTCATACATAAGACGTTAGCGAGAAAGTATGTAGTAAAAAACTGAAGGGACACGCATTTGACTTGCTTAAGGTTGTTTATGGAGCGTAATTAATGAGAGAAATAAAGTCGTATCTTGCAAAGTGTGCAATGCACACCTAAAAAAAAACAAAGAACCTGCTAACTTCGGCGCCATGATTGTGAGGGCTGCTACCTAAGACAAACCGCGAAATGAGACATACACAAGTTGCTGTGTGAATCCATACCCAGTCAAAAAAAAAAAAATCCCACAGGCTGTCGGTCTGTCTGCCTCTAGTTATGTGGTATTTCGCTATGCTGGCGTGTCGGTCGCTGTCGGCCTGTCATTTCAATTACCGACGTCATCTCGTTCTAGAAGAAGCGGCAGTTTTTCACACACGAACATGATTTTGCCGTAGTTGCAGCCCTTATTATCTATAGGAAGAGTTCTTCGTTGTTTTCTTTTACGGTGTCACGAAAGAAAATTATGAGTGACGCGTTATGCAAGCGAAACGCAGAAATGGCACGCCATCTGTCTAAAGAAGCAACGCGAGACACTGGGGTCCGCAAAGCAGAGTCAAGGTCACCTTGCACTCGTAATCTATGCGACGTCTTTGCCAGCCGTGTGACACAGCCGTGACAGGCAAAAAAAAAAAACAAAAAAAAATAAAACAGCCACATAGTTTGTTTTCTTTACGTATTTATTTTATGTGGGTTCCTCTTGATTTAACCATGACGCAATAACTCGAAGACAACGCAAAGCAGGTGGCAGGTGTGTCTGACATAAATAATTAGCGTTAATTACCGAAAGGTCAAACGAAGGCCCTCGCTTCGCTAATGTGTGCTCACGCTCATCCCTCTCATTCAGCAGTTTTTTTGGCTTTGCTAATACCTGAGGTAATGTGGCTTGCGAAATATCAGAAATGAATTCAAAACGCAATGTAGGGAGAACAAGAGCAGAAAGAATCAAAATAGAAAAAAAGTTCTCGATTGGTATTATGAAGAAGCCCGTGGTTGACAGCGCCGTCTACTTGAGCAAGAGCTTTATGTTTGCTTTGAAAGTTTCTGATCTTGGAAATAAAAGGGTGAAAAAATGTTCACGGGTTACAAGTGTTGCCCAGGAAGACTGCGACAGTCTCTAACTCTGTAATTCCGCGGTAAGTGTACGGATAAGAGAAAAATCGTTAGAACTTGTTCTCCTTCACCGATAGGCATGAACACTAAAGTCGTGCAAAATTATCCAAAAAGTATTTTCGTTGCTACGTTTAGAAGCTTGTTAAAATTGAGTAACAAGTGTACTGATGAGATATTTGGAACATAAAACTTGCAACAGAACATGTATGTACCACTACAACTGCCGATGCGCTAAGTTTGGTGAAAGTAAACCATTTTTCCTTGGACTGGAGCCCATCGTAACACACGTGATTGAATAAGAAATATTGCATCTTGGTGAGAAATAATTTGTTCGCTCTTCACTCACTCAATATCAACGAGCACATCTGACTAGGTGATAGAGATGGATGCGTTAGACGTATGTCGCAGTCCTTTAGATCTTACGTAAGGATTAATCTACGTAACAAGGTAGCAGTGCAGGCAAAAGTGAGGGCTTCAAGATGTAGCGAATGCTTGAACACGGTACGTCACTGCAGTGACTCTTTCGGGGAGTGATGTTGCTTATTTTAACGCAGTAACTGTCGCTCAGATAATGGACAAAATACCAATTGTCAAAACTTTGACTTCACCTGCACATTGTGTGCAAGCATATCTCACATAATCAAGATCACTGTGCGTTTAGCAGAGCTTTGCCATTCTAGAGTTCCCAAATGTGTTTTACTTTGTCTAAACACTAAATACCTTGAATTTCTGGTCGATGTGTGTTTTTGTTTTGTTTGTTTTCTTGTGGGAGGGGCGGGTAGCTGTAAGATGTATTTGCTGCAGGGGATTATAACCAAACTACCACATGATTAATTTTTACAGTCATAATTCGTAAAAGAGTGATATGGCACTCCTCATTATGGTGGTAAACCCATTTATTTTTTTTGCCCTCAACAGAAACTCATCACTATAAGTACTGGTATAGAATGGGTCACGAGTTCAAGCGTCTGTTGACTTTCTACAAAGGTTCAAAAGTAATCTAATTATTAGCGCGATAAGACAGTTACAATAAAAAGATTTTATCAGGTACCTTGATCCGAAAAGGGCACGTTGCCTTTATTACCGAAGTTGATTCCAGTGACCCAAATAATTACATCACACTCTCAACTTGTTCTGCATCATTTTTTTACTACAATAAAATCCAGGCAGTTAATAAATTTCAAAATATTTTGCTTTACCTGGTCTAAAAATACGTAAATTGATGTACGAGATTAAGATGCATAATTTTCGCAAGTATTTTAAACAACGCCTAAAGAGAGCAATTTGTTAGAAGTGTTTTGAGCAGTGTAGAGGTGTATCCTAATTTTGACTTAATTTCACACATAAGAAAAACAGTGTAACTTTCATGATAGACTTTTATGCGAGCATAATAAAACAAAGAGATTCTAATAACATGGTCTTCGCGAATACTATCAAGTTTGAGAGCTATTTTCTTTTTTTTTGACAGGGAGATTTCCGTGATTGACTACTATCAAACGATTTCTACAGTGTCTGTGCTAATCTTGGGTTTCTGGTGAACTCCTTACGGATTTGATGCTGCCCCGCCACGGTGGTCTAGTGGCTAAGGTACTCGGCTGCTGACCCGCATGTCGCGGGATCAAATCCCGGCTGTGGCGGCTGCATTTCCGATGGAGGCGGAAATGTTGTAGGCCCGTGTACTCAGATTTGGGTGCACGTTAAAGAACTCCAGGTGGTCAAAATTTCCGGAGCCCTCCATTAAGGCGTCTCTCATAATTAAATAGTGGTTTTGGAACATTAAACCTCACAAATCAATCAATCAATCAATCAATCAATCAATCAATCAATCAATCAATCAATCAAAGGATTTGATGCACTTTCGCGGCAAGTAAAAAGCAAAGACGTGCATTAGTCTGTTCATGATTGATTCATTTTCGGGTAAAAATACGGCAGATCACATTTACTCTTAACTTGTAATCGACTATTGCTTTACTTAAGCCTTCCCCGAAACATTCACTTTCATCGGCCACGGAGAGATGAAGCTGGCCTATCGGAGTTGCCTTTCAAGAACATCAGCTTCCGAAAGTCGTTCTGGAGCACTCCACTTACAGTGTTCACAATGACTTACAGTCAGAAGTACTGCGCTACTGCGCTACCAGCTACTGCGCTACCAGCTGCGCTACCACTACTGCGCTGCCAGCGCTACGACTGCGCTACCAACTGCGCAGTTCCTATGGAGGGACACATTCAGAAATGAGTATGCACATGCTTACCTGGGGCACGCCCACTATGTCCATGGTGTACTCCATCTCGTGAGTGGGATTGCACAGCTCGTGCAGGGGCTTGACGATGACGTGACCTATGAGGTCGTTTCTCGAGAAACGGTCGAAGTCGTAGAGCGAGAACTGCAGCGTCCTATGGCGGAGTTCCTCCAGTGTCAGGGCGAACACGAATGACTCGTTGAACACCGGGTTGAGGTTCTTGCGATGAACCTGGGTGAGGGCCAAACGGATCACGTTAAGGTTTGGTGTGTGCGTTTCGAAACGTGGTTGCGTTAAGCATTATCTGCAGCATCCTCTTGAGGAGTTCCTCCAGTGATCAATGCCGAAGAATGAACAAAGCGTCGTATTACTAATCTCTACAGCCCAATATAAATAACAAAGATTTCTGAAACTGCTCCCCAGACGAAAAATTATGACTTACTAAGAATGTATCACACAGAACATGAAATATCAGGTGTAACAGCTGCATGCTCTAACTCTATACAATCGTATGCAAATGAGGCACAAAAAATCAAATTGGCGCTGAAAATGTTATACTGCGAAGAATATGTGTCAGAAAGAAAACTGTATAAATAAACAGCTATACTCGAATACAAAACTCATTCTTATGAGCACACATATGGTGATGATAAACTGGCAAGATTAGATACTGGTGCTGCTAACGCGCCCAGGCGTGCATGTCCCTAGATAAATATACGCATGAGCAATGTGTTAAAGTTTAATAATTAGACGAGAAACATCATGTGATTAGGAATGTAATAAACTAATGTCGCATTAATCAAATTTAACACCACAAACAAGAAAGCGTCGACTCACTCGGGTCTGAAACTTCTTGCGGCGTTCTGGAAGGAGGTACAGCTTGATGTAAGGATCAGATGAACCAAGGAAGTCCTTAGACGGAAGATCCTTGGCCTGTAGTATCTGCAGATTGAATAAACCAAAACGGAAAGAACCACCAGTATGTAGAATACCCTCGCATAAGGCCGTGTGCAAATGACATACAATGTTTCACAACATTTTTTGAGGTCATTGTGTGGGTGCACTTTGTGGGAATTGTCAGAACGGCTAAGAAGGAAGGCCTCACAAAGTGTGCTCTCATACGAAAAGCTCAGTCTTTTTTTTTAGCACATGGTTATCGTTCGACGGATGGTAACATATTACGAGTTTCAACTTTGTTGCCGCATGCGCGTTTCGCAAATCGCTCTGCGAGTCCATGTGCCCGCGTTGGAACTGATATGAATTGCAAATTGCCGATTCAAAAAATAACGTTTGGGAAAACGGGCGGATGCAGTCTCTAGCCCGTGCGTTCACTGGCTTCAGCAGCCAGGCCGTGCCAGGAGCCACGCTTCGTCCTTATTGTCGTCGCTGGTAAACCCATCTCCTTTTGCTTCATTTTTTTGGACTGGAAGGCGTATTTGCAATGGCCCGAGTTCGTATTCCGACATATTGTTAACGAGGATTGGATGTCCTACATAGCATAGGCAAGTCCAGGCGTGTTAACTTTGGCGGATGGCGCGTTTTAAACGTAAATGGTATATGTATTGTCAGAGGAGGTGCTACTCTTATGCTTTCCCTACATGTTGTATAGTCGAGTGCGTGGCGGAAGGTATCTCTGTATCATCGACGCTAGTCTGCTAAGATATCCCGAGAAAAGTGGGATGCCTTTGGTAGCAGGTGACTGCCTAGACAAGTAACAGCCTCTCAGTGAGTCACACTGCACTGCCCGCTGTGGGGTTGCTTGTAAAAGAGACGTCCAACCACAGCTGTGGAGTCAACTGACTTGCCCCATTTAGATTCTATAGGATCATTCAACGTAAAGATGAGATAATTACATAAATTAATAAAATAATCAAAAGAAACTTTACTGCACACACTGTGGTAATGTAATTAAGGGTATACAGAATGATTCCCAAGGGAAATTGACTTTGCCGCGACCGTCTGTAAGTTCACAAAATACTAACTGTGAAAAAACAAAATAAAAAAGTATATCATCCAATAACAAGATACAATAGTTACCAACAAGCAATAATAAAATGATACAAGACATTCACAATCCCTTTTTAATCACACAACTGTTTTGTATTTATATGGACATTCTATAAAGAAATATATATTTATACTACCAACGAAAACATGCCCTAAACAATAAGTGGAAGTGAAATAAATAACTACGCACTTAGTTGACGAACCTTGTAATAATTTTGTTTAAGTGCAGTATTGCAGCTTTCATTGCCTCGCCGCGGTGGTCTAGTGGCTAAGGTACTCGGCTGCTGACCCGCAGGTCGCGGGTTCGATTCCCGGCTGCGGCGGCTGCATTTCCGATGGAGGCGAAAATGTCGAGGCCCGTGTGCTCAGATTTAGGTGCACGTTAAAGAACCCCAGGTGGTCGAAATTTCTGGAGCCCTCCACTACAGCGTCTCTCATAATCATATGGTGGTTTTGGGACGTTAAACCCCACAAATCAATCAATCAGCTTTCATTCTTTTAACACGTGTATTTTCTCTCACTGTCGTGTAAGAAATATGGTTTGGAACGTGACAATCACGAATGAACCAAAAAACATTATGTTTGCCATTGGGTTCATAAATCTTTTTAGATGTGGGCTTTCGTGTCATTTCTTTCGCCTCCTGTGCAAGGCGAAGTGTTTTCTTGATACGCTGTCTCATTTCACAGTTGATAAGCACGGTCCTTGGTTTATCTATGCAGAAAATAATGAGTGCAGACTAATTTTTATGTTTTAATCTCTATTGTGAAGCGTGCTATCGACGAAGTCGTAAATACCGTGAAACATTAGGCACAAAACACTTTTTATTCTACGCATAAACAACCATCTTTCAAGCTTGATTTCTTATCCGCCAACTGTAGCCATCGCCGGAGAATGCACCACGGGTATTGACTGAAGTTTTTATGTAATTGAACTTTGCAATGATGCGGACTACCTTTCGATTTTTTTTTTTGCTAAATCTAATTCGAAGTGTTCCGTTTCAACAAAAAAACTCTGCTTATCAAAATAAATAGGAAATTGAGACGATAAATAAAACGAAACTACGAAGTGAATTTTTTTCATTTAATTGACAATGACAACCATGTGCTCGAGGATGCGTAATACACTTATTACCAAAATGGCTTATTGACCAGGGATAACTTTCAACGATTGAACTGAAGTGCTTGAGAGAGCGTCTGGAACAAGGTGACTCTCTTTCGTGTGCCTTGCCTCTCTGAAGAGAATACGATTAACTTCAAAGAGAATTTCATTTTAAGAGGGTGATATGCACGATAAGCTGGGAGCAATGAAAACAGTTTAATAAATTCTTTATGCTGCAATAAATTATTTTGGTCTTCACAATATAGTGACGCTCGTTCAGCCATATTTACGTGAAACATGTAACGGCTGATGTGCATTCTAATATTTCAATATCTTCTAATACGACGAACGTTTAATTACCATGACATCTGATATTACCTGTCACTCAGGGTGTGATGCAACGCGTGCTGTCTTGCAGCTATTTTTTTAGGGCTGGTGCGTACGGCTTCTCAAATTCGAGGTGTCAAAAAAATAAGGAAAAACGAAAGAGCAAGAGCCAAAGTTGATGGCGCTGGGACCACCGCATTGTCGCAACACTTGTAACGCTGCGCTGTATAATGCATTCGGTACAAGTTTAAACATTGGAAACAACCTCTTTTTGCAAATCATGACGAGTCAGTGCGCAAAAGTCTTCGAGATAAACTTTTGGTAAAGCGGACCAGCGGAGAACTGTTTTTTTTTCCCCTTTTTTATAACAGGAACTGCGAGTCCCCAATCAAGCGGCAATAACGTACCCATACGACGCCCAAAGAAAGTGCCTTGTGCGAGTCATTAGACCGGAGTCTGCAGCGTTCAGCGGTAGACAGTTAGGTGGCCAGGTGATATTAAACAGTTCGCGATCATTACGTTACCGCAGGCGGTAGAGGTCAGAGTTAGACGAAAGATTGTGGAAGTGGGCTTCGCCCTGCACTGGGCGTAGTAATGCAGAAATAGTTCATGCAGTCATTCTGAAAACAATGTGCAAAAAAGAAGACAGCATAAATACCCAGTCGCTAACGAATAGTTTATGTGCTAAGACATATGTTTGTTTGCTGAAAACAAAAAAAAACTAAACAGGAAAACAAAACACTGAATCAACAAGTGCGAGGATTACGAGTATATGTACCATATTTGGAGTATTTTTCAATACGATTCCTGTGAAAAAATGGCTGCCTTATGAGTCGTGCCACCCATCAATAGTGTCATGCGGTCGTGACGCGGACGAAGGTAGTAGACTGGGTGTTTACGTTAAACTGTTCATTCAGCTAAACTTGTCGCAGCGAAAAAGAAAAAAAAAATCAGATGACAGGAAGACGCTGGCACCGATAGCGGCGAGCAGAGCTCTGGCAGTCGATCAACTGACGAGAGGCTAAGCGTGCCGGCATTTATACACGAGCCATCAAATATTTGGGCGCTATCGCTATAGACCACTTATGTTTCAGAATAATCTGTAATATTTCCGAAGTGGGCGTAATCCTAAAGAAATGATCTACTACAGTCCCGAAGTTTCTCGAACACTGCAGGCGCGGTTTGCGCTGAGAATTACGTACAGTGTAACGGGCCGATAACAAAACTTGAGAAAGGAACGTGGTAATACGCTCCTATATCAGCTCGGCTGTGTTTGCAATACAAAGTGAATTTACGGGGTTCATTTGGTATACTTTCTAATAAAATACCTTCTGGGGTATTACGTGCGAAACCACGATGCGATTACCATGCCCAGTATAGTATAGTTGGGGTTGCGGAACAGCTGCAAGGTCACACGCGACAAATAAGGTATTACTCTACCTAGTAGACAATGTTCTTGCGTTTTTCTTCCCTCGGGATGCTGTTACTGCGGACTCTAGCTTATAGTTCTGTCCTTCAGATAAACTATAGGTACTACGGCGAATAGAGTTCTTACCAAAGATAGGTGAGTTACATTGAAAGCCATTCCCCCTCGACATAATTTGGACTATCTGACAGGTGTATCTATACTCGTAAACAAGCTTCCTCGGCAATAAAGCCTCACAAAATAAAATCACAAATATTCTACCGTTATTTGTGTTTTCTTGCAACTATGTTTATATTTTCTGAAGCATGGAAACTTGGGCAAGTTAGTAGGACATAACTGAATATACGAACAGCGCCACTTAAACGTAGTTACAGTGTAACTACAGTGTGTCCTCATTTGTGTGCTTCTGTAGTTACAATTTCTGGAGCCCTCCACTACGGCGTCTCTCATAATCATATGGTGGTTTTGGGACGGTAAACCCCACAAATCAAACAATCAATTCTGTAGTTCCACTGTAACTACCTTTAGGTTGTGCTGTTCGTATATTCAGTTATATTTTCTGCTCAAGAGGCAAGAATCCCTCCTTTCTTTTCAGCACGCAGCACTTTGAGGCAGAACGCAGCACAGAATAACCAGATGTTTGTGCTTGCGTTAATTTTAACGTTGTCACTTTGCATTTTTTGCAAACGTGAGAAAGTAGCGCCTTTTACGATTACCTCGAACGTGCAGGGCCGTCGCCGTGGACACGCGAAGCTCACTACGCGCAATCATCACCATCCACAGTACTGTGTCATACCTGAGTATACTTCGCGTAGGAGTATTTGTAATCCGATGCTCCACAGAAACTCATGTGGTAGGAAAAATAAATCCTGGCAGGAAAGTACCTGTGCCAATAAACTGTTAAGTGAAGTGACGTTTTGGCCCCGCAGCGGTCACCTTGCCTACATTTGATTGATTTGTGGGGTTTAACGTCCCCTCACCTTGCCTACAACGAATCCAATTATACTTTCTGGACAGGGCTCCCAATGCGGGGCTGAAAAGTTGATTTGTTCGAACAATTCGTGGGTGCTTGTTCTTAACCAC